TCTCAGGAGTCTTGTCGGTGGAGTTCAATCTGCATAGCAAACCTCAGCTTTATTAATCCTGCTTTTCTTGGTAACCTCCCCATAACTGGCCTCCCCACACCATTTTTCCTTCTGTTTTTGGTTGAAGATTTTTTTTGGGGGGGGGGTATACATTTAATTTTATTGTAACAAAGCAGAAGATGGTATTTAAGCTGGTGGCTTAGGCCACCTCAGGGAGTTACTCCTTTTTCCTGGGTATCTTCCATGTATACTGAGGTGTATGTTAATAGAGTTCAGCTTGTTTTTTCCTTGTTTACCTTTCTTTTAATACGGGGGTTTCACAAGAACTCAGACAGGTAGAGAGGAAATTGTTTTTCCTCCTCTGCATTCTCCTGTTATTCAACAGGGGCAGGCCCCTTCGGGGAAGAATGTAGAAGTCAGGTGTCAGGGGACTTTCTCTGACCTCCTGTCTCCCCAGGGGCCTGCACTATTTCTGAGTCTCAGGGGAGAAGTTTGAATTGGAGGGGAGGCTGCTGATCTGTAAGAGGAAACAGGGGGGCAAGGGTGGGCTATGTGGGTCTATAGGGACCAGTTTATGGAGACAGGCTGGCTGCCTCCATGGACCAGCAGTGCTCCCTGCGGTCTGATCTGACACTACAGTTATACAGGCTGTGACCTGTGGGCCACGGGGCTTCACTCTGACTTCTCACTATCGTGATCTATTCTCTCTAACACTGGGATGCTCATTCCCAGCACAAGCTAATCAGCAACAGAAACCTCATAATAGTAGGAAGAGCAGCACCTTGACAAGAAGTGCACTGTTCTTAAGGAAGAAATTATGTATCTACACTTAGAGTCCTAAGAGTAGACCTGATGGACACGTGCTCTTATTATCTTCATTGTGTGTATAGGGAATAGTAATAAAGGCTTATTTTTAAACTTACACAATAACTGTGCAATTATTCTTTTACATTAAAATGATAATTTAAATCGATATTGCTTGAATTAAATCACACTTCAAGTTACATACAGTAAGGAAAAAAACTAGATTATAGAAAAATACACGTAATGGGATTAAACTGGGGCAAATTCTTATTTTTTGTAGAAACATAACAAAAGGTAAAATCAGAAAGACTATTTACAAAAATATGGCATTTGACAGAGGGGAGATTTCAGATACTTAAAATTAAATTTTTTTGGCCTATGCACCTGCATTTCCTAAATTTCTAAGATGATATTATTCACATAGTAAAAAACAAGAGAGAAAGAACTGGGGACAGTGCTTTGGTTGTCTCTATATTTCTCCATCTTATTGCACCCTAAGCTCTCTCTTTCATTGTGCATTGAGGGAAACACAAAAATAAAATTAAACAAATCACGAATTGAAAAGGAAGGGTTTAGGTACACACTAAGTCAGAGATTATCCTAACACAGAAGACAGCATAGTGAGAGTTGGAATCTGAGTGTAGGTAAGATCTCAAAATACACACTTGATAAAAACATTTGTGGTTTAATTAAAGAATTGTGTATTGCAGGGGATTAGGGAGACGTTCCTTGATACTTCTGTTGATTTCTGCTATTACATTGCAGGGAGGGGAGACACTGAAAACAAGAATCTGGTACCTTGGTTACAGGACTGCTGGAGGGGGTTGGTGGTAACAGCCAAGGAGTCTGGAAGCAGCCCTCCGGCGGGTGTATGCTGGGTGTTAAAGGTTCTGGAAGCTGACTCTGCTCCAAGGGTAGTTTTATCCTCTGGGGATTAACAATTTTGGTGGTGGTGGTTGGGTCTTCTCTTTTCTGAGGTAAAGTATATATTTCTTCTTCCTGCTGAATGGTTTTCAATATCAGATGAACCATAACATTTTTCTCCCACCCTCTGTCTCTGTCTGTCTATCTCTCTCTTACACACATGCACCACAGGATCTTCACTCTGCCAATCTTCTCTGGAATAACAGCATATCTTCAGATACCCCCAGCACCTCCCCAGCTTGAACCCCAACCAGGATAACAAACTTCTCTTTGTAAATGTTAAAAACTCAGATGATCACAGCAATCCCACTCCTGGGCATGTATCTGAAGAAAACTCTAATTTGAAAAGATATGTACACCCCAATGTTCACAGAGCACTATTTACAATAGCCAAGACATGGAAGCAACCTAAACGTCCACTGACAGATGACTGGATAAAGAAGTTGTGGTGTGTATATACAATGGAATACTACTCAGCCATAAAAAGAATGAAATAATGCCATTTGCAGCAACATAGACAGACCTAGAGATGATTATATTAAGTGAAGTAAGTTGGAGAGAGAAAAACAAATATCCTATGATATCACTTATATGTGGAACTAAAAAGAAAATGATACAAATCTTATTTACAAACCCAAAATAGAGTCACAGACATAGAGAACAAACTATGGTTACCAAAGGGGAAAGGGCAGGGGAGGGATAAATTAAGAGTTTGAGATGAACAGATACACATTACTATACATAAAATAGATAAACAACAAGAACCTACTGTGTAGCACAGGGAACTACATTCAATTTTTTTCTAACAACCTATAATGGAAAAGAATCTGAAAAAATATGTATGTATGTGTATAAGTGAATCACTTTGCTGTACACCTGAAACTAACATTGTAAATCAACTACATGTAAATAAAAAATAAAATTTAAGTGAAAAAGGACAGCACAACAACAAAACAGAGTTTATAACAGATTAAAAAAACCTCAGTGATCAAAATTCCATTGGTCTGTTTTGGAATTTTGGCTCTACTTCTGCAGCAAACTGGCCTTTGTCCACTTCATCAAGACAGCACTTGGACTTTTATATTGGTAGAAATTTCTATTGGGTTATAGTGGAAGCACGTCTCAGAAGAAGGCTGGCTGCACTTAAGGACGTTTTATTAACTGAGACTGTTGCTACCTTATATGTTTACCAATTAAGCAAATTAGTTTCTGTCATCTGCTCTCCAAGTCCAGGAAACCCAGGTCTCCGACCATTTGGATGCTCTGTTTATCAGCGTACTGGAGAGATTCACCCAAATTCATAATTCCAGAGGCAGGATTCTGCTATCTCTAGCCTGCATTAGGCAACCCAGTCCTTTTTGGAGTTCTCAACAATAAACAGACTCATTCAAGATCTCACCCGGGGCATTCTCAGTGCAGGGATTTTTATAATTGTTTAAGCCAGGGCAGGAAGTATCTGTAAATCAATTACATTGACTATGTTTAATTTCACTGATGAGAGCCCATTTCTTACATTCTACAGCCAGTGTAAACTTGCCCCGGTTCTTACAACTTCTAGCATTCATTTGTCTAATTCATAAAGTGTTACTTGTTGATAAAATTGTAGATGAGGGAGCTGCTTAAAATACCTGACTCTGGCATGTAGCTATTACAACACCTTTGACTGCCCCTGGCGTCTCATTCCTCATTAGAAAGCTTACGGAGCCTGGGCTATGGAAGCAAATCTGAGATATAACACTATCGAGTCAAACATTTGAAAAAATAAATGACAGATACGGTAGAGGGGAGGGTATAGCTCAAGTGGTAGGTAAAGCGCATGCTTAGCATGCATGAGGTCCTGGGTTCAATCCCCAGTCCCTCGTCTAAAAACAAACAAATAAACCTAACTACTTACCCCCTCAACAACAAAAAAAATTAAAAATAAATGACAGATGTTGTAGCATCTGTATGCCGACTCCGGAAGCAACACATGTCATTAAATGCTCAAGTTTAGAGTTCAGTAGGCTGGATCCGAATCCTGCGTCTAACATTCACTTTCTGTGTGAACTCGGAGATTTTTAACCTCTATGAACTTAAGTTTTCTCATATGTAAAATGAGACTACCAATAACACCTTCATGTGACTTATAAAGGACAAATGAGATGATGTACACGGAGAACATAGGTTTTGGAGTGCAGCACCACTAAACACTCACTACATGGGATTATCACTATGCTGCACTCTCAGAGCAGACATCGGAGTTTGTCTCTGGGCTCTCACCCACAGATGTTCTATGCTTCATGTTGGCCTTCTTGATGGAAACCCCAGATAGAGGTGGTACGGGAAGCACTTGCGTGACAAACTATTCTGGAGAATAGTGATTTAAATGCTGCTCTTAGAATGTCATTCTAAGTGAAGTAAGCCAGAAGGAGAAAGAAAAATACCATACGAGATGACTCATGTATGGAATCTAAAAAAAAAAAAAAACATAAATACAAAACAGGAACAGACTCATAGACATAGAATACAAACTTGTGGTTGCCAAGGGGGAGGAGGGTAGGAAGGGACAGACTGGGATTTCAAAATGTGTAGATACTGACAGGCATATGCAGAACAGATAAACAAGATTATACTGTTATAGCACAGGGAAATATATACAAGATCTGTGGTAGCTCACAGCAAAAAAGAATGTGACGATGAATATGTATATATTCATGGATAACTGAAAAATTGTGCCCTAAACTGGAAATTGACACAACATAGTAAAATGTCTGTAACTCAATAAAAAAATGTTTTAAAAAACGCTGCCCTTGCCTATTCTTCAAGTTGCTTGCTCATTGGCTGCAGAAATAGGCATTGCAGCCCTGTGTGAAGGTGACCACAGGCGTCATCTCAGGGCCGCACAGAGGCAGGCTGGGATAAGAGCTGGTGCACACGTGTGCGCTCACCTTCCCACCCTCACCTTGTCTTTCCCAGGGAAAGGGCACCTCTAATTTGATATTACTGTCCAGTAAGGAAGAGAGATGTACATTCATTATGGCTGTGATAAGTGCTAAAAAGGAAAAGTAAACGGACTTGTGATAGGAAACAAGAGGAGTATCTAATGCAGTTTGGAGGGGGGATTAATAAAGACTGGCCCGTGGAAGAGACACAGGTTTGCACCTGAAGGTTGAAGACACGTGAACCGGTGGTGAATCAGGACAGGTGATTCCAAGCAAAGAAGAAGGCGTGTGTCAGAACATCTGACACGGGAAGAAGCACGGAATTCTGAAAACAAGCCCTGTAGTATGGTCAGTGAGCCAAAGGGCACGGGGCCAAAGGAAAGTGGACTGTAAGGGGTGAACACACTCATACTCCTCTTGCCGTGTCCTGTCACCTTTCCTCCCTCTTTCTACTCCACACAGGAGAGTAACCCTTTCAAAATCAGAGATTGTTTCATAAACGCATGCTTTGTAAATAGCCAAGGAGTTAGAATACAGTAGGATCTCAAAATACACTAAGTACATGAATATATTTAATACATTAAATAAGTGGTATCTTGTGGGAGATCAGATTGTGACAGTTCTTGTACTTCTGCTGCAGGGAGGTACAGGGACTGGGAACGGGAAGCTGGTACCTTGATGGAGGAGCTGCAGAGTGGGGCTGGTGGAAGCATTTGAGCAGTCCAGCCACAGCGCTCAGGTGGGCACATGCTGGTTGCCCAAGTTTCTGGAAGCTGACTCTGTTTCTGAGATAGCATCTTCCTTTTTAAGTCATTACTTTTGGTGGTTTTCTCATATTTTCTCTAGAGAAAAGTAGATTTTTCCTTATTTCTCAATTATGATTTTCAAAATCACACAGAACACAGTATCTTATTCTTTCCTTTTTTAAAATGTAGAATCTTAACATTTCAATTTTTTTTCCTGGAATAATAGCACATATTCAGAGACCTGTACCACCTCCCCTCCTCCCACTCAACCAGGGTTACAAATTTCCCCCCTGCAACTATTAAAAGCTCAGATGAAATTTCATTGGTTTGGGGTGGAATCCAGGTTCCTCATCTGCTGCACACTGGCCTAAGCAGGTAGGTGACCCTCCCAGGTTATAAGGGCAGCAAATCTCAGCACAAAGTTGGCTGCACATAAGGATGGTTATTATGCATGATTTTCTTATCGAGAAAATACATGCATGGGTTTCTGACAACTGCTTCTCAGGCTCCTAGAAAGCCACTGATCTATTGGGAAAAATTATTGGGGGAAATAAGGATTCTTGGAACTAACAATAACAATGACCATGAGAAAACAAAATCCCCATGGAGAGTCTCTTTATACGGGAAGTCTGAATTCGAGGGGCACGTGCGGGGTGGTGGTGGGGACGTAGCATGAGTCAGAGAGCAGCTGGGGTCTCAGGAGAGGAACAGTGTTAGAGAACAGTGATTTAATTCTGCTCTTGCCTACCCTTCATGTTGTCTTGGGACAACCTTTTCCTGCCCATTCTCAGATCCAGGCTCTGTAGTCCCCAGGTTGTATGTAACCCCAGGGCAAAACAAAAAGCAGGTTGGATAGGAATTGATGCCTATAGATGTGAATTCACTTTCCCACCTCAGTCTTGCCTTCCTCTGGGACAGGGTAACTATAATCTGAGTTTATTGTCCAGTAGATAAGAAAAACTTGATTTCTTACAGCTATGATAAGTACTGTAAAGGAATAAACAGTAATGGGTCCCCTGAAAGCAAACGAGAGTGTCTGATCCTTTTTTGGGAGGGGCTGTTTCAGTGAAGACTTGCCTGAGGAAGGAGTTCGGGCTGGTCCCTAAAGGTTGAATATATTTGGGCCATTGAAATGACAGGGATAATGAATTCTGAATTAAGAAAATAGCCTAGGTCAAAACACCTGATGTGGGAAGGAGCATAGAATGCTGAGAACTGATCTAGAAGTATGGTTACGGGAAAGGGGGGACAGGAAACTGAAATGCAGGGAATAAACATACTCTTATTATCCATTGCTAATTGTCAGGCCACTCCCACTCCCTATTTCTGGACCAACGTAAGACAGTAACCTTCTTGAGATCAGGAATTATTTCACAGATGCATGCCTTGCAAAAGCTCCAGGACTTAGAACACATTGAGATCTCAATATCTGCACTTGATAAATTAATGAGCGATTTTATGACATAAAGAAATTATACATAGTAAGGGATTACTGAGAAAATCTTTCAAGGTCATGATTATCCTTATAATACGTTGTAGGAAAGGACAAGTACTGAAAATAGGAAAACGGTACCTTGGTTGAGGAACTGCTGGATGGGGCTGGCGGAGGCACTGGAGGAGTCTGGAGAAGGCTCTCAGCTGACTTCTTGCTGGTTCCTGATGTTCCTGGAAGCGGATTCTGCTTCTGGGTTAGCCTCATCCTCTTAGCTTCATTGGTTTTTGTGGTCTTATTTTTCTGAAAGTAGGTTTTCCCCCCCTGGTTAATAGTTTTCAGTATTAAATGAAATACATCTTTACTACTGAGAAAATCAACTTTTTATTAGTAGATTCTAATTATACTAAAATGTACATCCTTGGGAACTGCGGGGAGCTACGTATAGTCCATCCTGTGGAGTTGGCCAGAAGGTAGGCAGTGCACATATATATTGGCTTTATACAAAGAGCAGGGAAAATTTTAGACGTGTCACTCCTTGCTCACTTCTGTGTTGATGAGAAGAGCAGTGGATTTGGATTTAGAAAACCCAAGTTTGAATTGAGTCTCTTTGAGTAGGCTTTGGCAAGCTATTTTTCTGATTTGATTGCTATTTCAGTACATATCTCAAAGAGGAATAACGATTTCATTATTTCCATCGTAAGGAGTTTAAGTTCAAATGCATAGTAGTTCTGAAACAAAATGGGTGATCAGTAACCATTAATTTGCTGACTCTAAAACTCATTCTCACACTGCCCCTGGGGTCTTCTTTTCTCTGATTCTTCTATCTGCATGTAGGGAAATGAATAAAGAACTGAAGTGTTCCTAAGAAGACAGTAAGTGGAAGAGTCACAGGAGAACTCACAGTAGGTCCTTCAGTGGGACCGCAGCCATCCTACCTTCACGGGTGTGCCCTTGGTCGATTTAGGTCCCAAAGCTTTATTTGTGGTAGATGTACTGGGTTTATCCTGTTTGTCTTTTCCTGGAGTTGTTTCATTTGCTTTGGATTTCCTTTTAACTGTTGCAGTAAAAGAGAACATGATAAATCCAAAGGAGCTGGTCTAAGACAGCTGAAGGACTTTCAACGCTAGTTTCTCTCACTTCCTGCCTTTGGATCTAGGTATGCTTCAATCTACTTCTACCGCATTACCTTCGCTTGGCCACAGGTGGCTGGCACTAGCAACAGAGACCGACAGTGACTCACACTTCTTCAGTGGTTTCCTTTCTTGTCCCACGTGCAATGAGCACATCCTTTCTGACCTCCGCACTCCTATGTACCTCAGTCAAACCCTTTTCCAGCCCACTTATCCTATACTTTCCTTTTAAGAATCCAAAGTTTTCAGGATGCTTTGGTGGGTAAATTTCTACAGAAGATCCATTTGAACTACTGAAATCAGAGTAGGATGTAGGATGTGGCAAAGTGGTGATACTACACTTTGACTTTTTAAAATATGTTTTCCTAATCCAGTGGTTTTTATAAGAGGCAAGTTCTTCACATCTTTGAAAGGTAAGTTTTTATTTAAGTACTGCCTCATATTTGTTACTAGAAAATATAATAACAATGGACTAAATATGGTTAAGAGCATGCATATTTAACTGATTTAAAAATTTGAAAAGCTCGTATGTTCTAATTTTGTTTTGTCATCGTCTAACTTCTCTAGTGTATGGAAGCCTCAGCCTTTCTCATCGACTCCTTCTACTTTCTCCTTTATCGCATCCCCAAAATACATCCTCGAAAATACATCAGGCCTTTTTTGTAGGAAAGGCATTCTCTAAGTTGTCAGTTTGTTGGCATCTGAGGTACTACCATTGTCATGGCTGTTGAGTCCCAGGTTGGGGAAGAGATAGCTGAACTATGATCAAATCAGGGTTCTATTTAGGGTTGAGGAAAGTGCAGAGAGAGTGAGAGAGCAGTTCTTCCTTATCACCTTTTGACTTCTCATTTCTAAGAGTTTTAACAATGTCTTTAAGTGATTCAATATCTTTGATGAGCTCTATTAGTTTGTCAACACAGGCAGCCCCTTTGAACTTTTTTGCCATCAGATCGGCGATCTTAATTCTGTCGTATTCATCTTGAGTTTTTGTAGTCAGATTTAAATCCTCATGCAGTAGAGACTTAACCAGTCTGAAATTATAATCATCAATGTGCTGTAACCCTTTCAGCAGAAGAATTTTCTTGAATTCATTCGCCATGTCTCAAGTTATGGATGTGCCTATAAGAGAAAAATAACATACAGTGTTATACCTGTATACAGACAATTTAAAAGACACTTTACATCTACATGAGTTAGTGGCACATATCAAAGTGTTATCCATGGGTGTGTGAGGAAAAAAAAGGGACTTAATTACCAGATGTGTTACTGTGGAAAGTGGATTGAAAACTGTTGTATTAGAAACTTCTAAGACATTCTCTCCTTTTAATGATAGTTGTTGAGTTGGGTTGGGGGGTGGGTATAGTGGAAGGATGCCTGGAAATAACGATTGTTGCAGTGTGTAGTCTGGACTATGTAGTATCAATGTCCCTGGTCCTTCTACCCATCGTTCATCGGGGCTGCAGTCTATCTCTTGAATATCTGCCTGGTGGTTCATGGCTCTTCCCATCCACTATGTCCAAAGAGGCCTATGAACAAAATGGACTGGAGCCTCTCACCTTACACAAATATCCTTCTGCCACAGCCCTACAGTTCCAAGTACCAACACTAGTCCACTTGGCTCTTCTCTAGTCAGTCCTCATTAGCATCATCTCTCCCTGGGGGGCGGGACCATGTTCTCTGTGTCCTATGTGACCCTATCACTGTCCCTTTGCTTGACTTCTCCCTTCTTTCTAGGGCAGGATCACAGCATTTATTGGCTGGAATTATTTCAATGGTCGCTTGATTTTTCTCCTTCCACGCTTAATCTCACTAATTAGTTCTTCTCATAGAGCGAGATATTTCCTCATAAAGCCACGGTTCTATCTCACTTGACACCTTTCAATAGTTCCCCATCTTCCCTTTGAAAAATTTCTTGCTCCTTTACATGGCTTCAAAGGCCTTGAATAATCTGCATTTTTTAAAAATTTCTGTAACTTTTGTATTTCTTATGTCTCGTGCTCTAGAAATAGATGGCACACCTTGCTTTTCATGTTTTATGACTTTGCTAATTCCTTTCCCACTGCCTAGAAAGCCATTCCCATCTGTATTTCTCTGACTACCTCCTTACAGCATTCAAGACTCAGCTGAGACTTTATCTTCTGAAAGCTACTAGGGTCCCTATTTTGGACTGAGTGTCAATCCTCTGGGCCTCTTTAGTACCCTGTGCACTTCCTTGATGACACTCAGTGCATGGTATGGATTCCAATTTTCTGTTTGAAGTCATAAATTCTTTATGTTAGGGACGATGTGCTTGTATACCTTTTTATAAATAATTGGAATGTTCAAGTTCCCAGGGCTGTGAATTATTCCTTCTTGAGAGAACATGAGCATGCTCAGATAGATCAGGCCCATAGAATGATGTGCCCACACCAGCCCCAGGACCCGTTGGACCATGGTCCTACCCACCAGTAGGCTAAAACCAATTCTGGGACACCTTGGATCCCTCAGCCAGTGGCCCAGAGTCCAGTCCCAAAATTTTATAAAAGTAGTAAAGTTATCTGTATCTACAATAAGTTGTTAAGGGATACGCAAAACCAAAAGATGTGAAATGCAATGTCAAAAACAGTGAATGTGGTGGTGGGAAATGCAAGGTTGTTAAATGCATTTAAACTTAGAGATCAGCAACTTAAAATAATCGTATATATGAATGAGACAAGGATGCCCACCCTCGCCACTTTTATTCAACATAGTATTGAAAGTCCTAGCCACAGCAATCAGACAAGAAAAAGGAATGAAAGGAATCCAAATTGGATAGAAGGAATTAAAACTGTCATTGTTTGCAGATAACATGATACTATATATAGAAATTCCTAAATAGACCACCCAATCAAAAAACTACAGAGTTCATCAATGAATTTGCTTAAGTTGCAGGATACAAAGATTAATATACAGAAATTAGTGTCATTTCTATATACTAACAGTGAACTACCAGGAAAAGGAATTAAGAAAAAAATCTCATTTAAAATCCTATCAAAAAGAACTAAGGAGGTAAAAGACATTTTTGGAAAACTTAAGACACTAATGAAAGAAATTGAAGATGACACTAACAGATGGGAAGATACAACATGTTCATGGATAGAAAGAATCTATTATTAAAATAATCTCATTACCCAAGGCAATCTACAGATTCAGTGCAATCCCTATCAAATTACCAATGTCATTTTTCACAGAACTAGAACGGAAAAAATTTTAATTTGTATGGAAACATGGAAGACCCTGAGTGAAAAAAGAATTCTGAGGAAGAAGAGCAAAGCTAGAGGTATCACATTCTCTGATTTCAAACTATACTCTAAAGCTACAGTAATCAAAACAGTCTAAGGATGCACAAGAAGAGACACATGGAACAGAAGAGAGCCCAGAAATGAACCCACACTTTATACACAATTAATCTACCACAAAGGTGGCAAAAATGTACAATAGGTAAAAGACAGCCTTCTTAACAAATGGTGCTGTGAAAACTGGTGCAAAAGAATCAAACTGGTTTACTCTCTCACACCATGCACAAAAAGAAATTCAAAATGGATTAAAGACTTAAATGTAAGACCTGGAATCGTGAAACCTCTAGAAGAAAACATAAGGATTACACTCTTTGACACTCGTCTTCATTATATTTTTTTGGCTACACCTTCTCAGGTAAGGGAAACAAAAGCAAAATTAAATAAATGAGACCACGTCAAACTAAAAAATCTTTTGCACAGCAAAAGGAACTATGAACAAAACCAAATGTTCACCTACTGAAAGGGAGACTGTATTTGTAAACAATTAATCTGATAATGGGTTGATATCTAAAATATACACATAACACACACCACTCAACATCAGAAAAACAAACAACCCAGTTAAAAAATCAGCAAAGGATCTGAAAAGACATTTTTCCAAGGAAGCCACACAGATAGGCAATATGCTCATGAAAAGATGCTCAATATCACTAATCATCAGGGAAATGCAATCAAAACCACAGTGAGATATCACCTCACACTTGTCAGAATGGCTACTATCAAAAAGCAACATATAACAAGTGTTGGGGAGGATGTGAAGAAAAGGCAACACTCGTGCCTGTCAGTGGCAAAGTAAATTGTTGCAGCCACTATGGAAAACAGTATGGAGGTTTCTCAAAAAATTAAAAATAGAACTGCCATACGATGCAACAATTCTACTCCTGGATATTTATCCAAAAGAAACAAAAACATTAATTCGAAAAGATAGCTGCACTCCTATGTTCATTGCAGCATTATTTACGAAAGCCAAGAAATGGAAGCAACCTAAATTTCCACCAATAGGACATGAATGGATAAAGAAGGTATAAATATATACAATGGGTTATTACTCAGCCATAAAAAAGAATGAAATCTTGCCATTTGTGATAATATGGGTGGACCTAGAAGATATTATGCTAAGTGAAATAAATCAGACAGAGAAAGACAAATATTTTATGATTCACTTTTATGTGGAATCTAAAAAAACCCAAATGAACAAATATATTAAAACATAGACTTATAGGCACAGAGAGCAGTTGTGTTCCAGGGGGACGAGTAGGTGAGGCAGATTAAGAGGCACAGATTTCCAGCTGCAAAATAAATGAGCCACGGGTATGAAATGTGCAGTATAAAGAACATAGTAAGTATATAATACCTTTGTATGGTGATATATCATAACTAGACTTTCCACAGTGATCAGATTGAAATATATAGAAACATCTAATCACTATGTTGTGTAACAGGAACTACCATAGTGTTGTAGGTTAACGATATTTCAAAAACAAACAAACTCGTAGAAAATAAGATCAGATTTGTGGTAACCAGGGGCAGGGGTGGGGCTAGGGGAGAGGGAACTGGATGAAGGCAGACAAAAGACACAAACTTCCAATTATAAGATCAATAGGTGCTAAGGATGTAATGTACAACATGATAAATATAATTACTACTTCTGTCTATTATACAAAAATGTTAAGAGAGTGAATCCTAAAAGTTCTCATCATAAGAAAAAAGTTTTTCTATTTCTTTTTTTTTTAAATTGAGGTATAGTCAGTTTACAATGTTGTGTCAATTTCTGGTGTACAGCACAATTCTTCAGTCATACATGAACATACATATATTCATTTTCATATTATTTTTCTATTTCTTTAATCTTGTACTAATACAAGATGAGGGATGTCCCTGAACTTATTGTCACGATCACTTCATGACGTAGGTAAATGAAATCA